TGAGAAACGATGTACAAATGCGCTTTACACAATTGATGTGTGTATGGAATGGGATAACAGTTGTATGAGCCCCTAATAAAATGTTTAAAAAAAAACAAAAAAAACCTTTAATAAAACAAAGGAGAGAAATAATTTTGAAACCTCATAGATTCACCCAATCCAGGATCTCCTTTACAGAAAGTAAATTTCACCTGTTTGTTAGAAGAGTAATAGTATTTTTTCTCCTGATTATTTAAAAATCTTAAACCATTGATTAGTCTTTGGCATACAAAATAAATAATAGGTTTCTTTAAAAATATTTTCTTGTGCAGCCATTTTGTTCTTTTGTTTATAGTAGTTAAAAAAGGAAATGCTTGGAGAAATGTTTGGTGGGACATAAAAATAACAGCTCTTGCTTGAATTGTTAGCATGTTTGTTCTTAGTACTGTGCCACTAGGGAGTTAACCTGGAGCAATCCCTCTAATGAGAGATCAGTGCCGTTTTTATCAGATCCCTTTGAGGAGAGCTAGGGAAACCTGCCAAGCCTTTATAGGACATATGAAGAGAGTTGAGGAAGAGAATTCCTTTAAGAACTATGTTGGTGTTTTTGCTGGCATGGGCATATCGTGGTCAACAGAATGGACCCACATGTACTGTAACGTGACCGCTTTCATGGGTGGCTAAAGCCTCATCTTCTCTGAAGACTTTATGTTGTGTGACCTTTCATCTAGTGCCTTGCAACTTAACAAATGTACAGCAATAGTAAGTTATTAGTGAAGAATATTTTCCTTCCCAACTTTGTTCCTCTGAGCTAATAAAAGTGGTAAGGCTGCTAGCTAGGACTGAGTGAATTTCTCCAGTTTAAAACCGCAGATGTGATATCTACTGCTATGATGTCCTGACAAGAGCTGCTCACTGACAAGGGAAACTTTAGTGCAACATTCATTGTGCAGTAACTATTTGGTTTGGAAGTTGTCTTTATTGTTATTTTAACATAGGAATGATGTTTTGGTGTTTGATACTTGGTTTTGTGTAAGCTAAACAGGATGTCTTATTTTGATGAAATAACTGGACATTTAATATTTCCCTAAAGCTAACTAAAAAATTTTTAAACAATATTGTTTTATCTTTATTAAGTTATAATAATATATGATGACTGTTTTACCAGTGTTTTTTAATGTGATTTGAAATGAATACTGAGTATTTTTAACTTTTGCTTATTTATTTACAGGTATTAAATGCTATGCTAAAAGAAGTATGTACAGCATTATTAGAAGCAGATGTTAATATTAAACTGGTTAAACAACTAAGAGAGAATGTTAAGTAAGTGAAATTAATCAAGTTAAAAACAGGCAACACTAAGTGTAGCTTGCAGGTGTGAGGTGATGACTAGAAAGTTTTCTCTGTCGGGGACCGTTCCTGCTGTATTGTGCTGGAATAGAGTAGAACTCACTTGTTGGAAGTCTTATGTATAGTATGTTGCCAAAATGATGGTTTTAAAACATAAATTAGATATGACTTTCATTTCATGATGCACTCCCCCCCCATATTAACTGCTACTTTATTTTGATTTATTTGATTCTGTACTGTATGCCATTTTAATATAAAAACTTTTCATCAGTTCACATTCTTTGTAGACTTATTTTCTTCAGCCTTCAGGTAACATTCAAACTTCAGGCCTCTTCAGTGTTAAAATATTTGGGGGAGGGGAGGGAGGGAAAAAAGAGGAATTAATATCAAGGGCTCAAACAGAAAGAAAATGTTCCCCCAATAAAATGATTTTTTTTAAAATTAAAAATCCATACATACCCCCCCAAAAAATAAGGAAAATGTTTTGAAAATGATGATGACAACACATATACAAATGAGTTTGATACAGTTGGTGTCTGGATTGTTATATGAGCTGTAAGAGCCCCTAATAAAATGATTTAGTTTTTTAAAATAGTTTTTTTCTTCTCATCTTAGTGTATATCTCTCTGTCTATATTCTAAAGCAATAGAATGTGTGGCCTCGGTTATATTTATTCGGGAGACATATTGGCACTTCACAATTCTAGCTCTTGTCATACACAGGCCATCCCTTCATTTTGTATTGTCAAACCGGGTAATAAATGTAGAAATAGTAATATGTTAGCATTTAGAACTAAAGTTTTATTTTCTGTTAGTTATAAAGACATACAGACAAACAAATTAATGCTTTCCAGTAATGAGAACTTTAAAATAAAAGCCTTGAAAAACGAGCTGAAGTTTTACATCTGATATGTCATTGTAAAATCTTTTGTGATACAAACTTTTGAATCTGTAGCAGTTATGTACATGTCATTTGAAAAGCTAGTCATATGAGTGAGTTATTCTTAACCTTGTTTGATGTAGAAATGTATATTTTTTAGAGTGTCTTAAATGATTTTCTTTCTCTCTTCTCCAAACTGTGCCATCATAAAGGTCTGCTATTGATCTTGAAGAGATGGCATCTGGTCTTAACAAAAGAAAAATGATTCAGCATGCTGTATTTAAAGAACTTGTAAAGGTAAAATTATGTAATGTTTGTGCTATGATTTTCTATAGCCTTAATGAGTAGAAATAACACTAGCACTAAAAACAAAATTACTATTTCAGAATACTATTATGTGCTTTTATGTAGTGTTCATATGTATTAAAGCCTTAAATGAAAAGTGTTAACTTTTCTAAAGGGATTTAATTTTATGATAGAATTTTCTGACTGCAGAATTCTAAGTACAGATTTGAAGACCTTGTAACAGTCCCACTAAGGAACCCTGGTGGTGCAAATGTTAAACACTCAACTCTCTAATTCTTTCAGTTCTATAGAGTCGCTTCTGATTCAGAGTGACCCTATAGGACAGGGTAGAACTGCCACTGTCCAGTCCACAGTTTCCGAGACTGTATCTCTTTACAGGAGTAGAAAACCTCATCTTTCTTCTGCAGAGCTGATGGTGATTTCAAACTGCTAATCCTTCAGTTAGCAGCCCAATGTGTAATTCATTACCCAGTGCTAACCTAAAAGTTGATGATTCATATCCACCCAGTGGCTCAGCAGGATAAAAGACTTGGTGATCAGTCTAGGAGACCCTCGGGGCAGTTCTGCAGTGTCATATAGGGTAACTGTAAATCATGAAAGGAGCTGTCAGGAAATCAGACAATGAATTGCATTTGGCAAACATGCTGCAAAAGGCTTCTTGAAAGTGTTGAAAAGGAAAATTGTCATTTTGAAGATTACAATGTGTCTGACCCAAGCCATGGTATTTTCATTTGCCTCATATGCACACAAAAACTATATAGTAAATAAGGAAACCCAAGGGAGAATTGATTCATAATATAGATTATGAAGTTGATGAAGGTGATTAAATGTACCATTGACAGTCAGGAAAATGAACAAATTTGATCAGAAGGTGTACGGCCAGAATGCCCCTTAGAAGGTAGAGTGGTGAGACTTCATATCATGTGCTTTGGATGTGTTGTCAGGAAGCACCAGTGTCTAGAGAAGGCCATCCAGCCTATTTGATAAAGTAGAGGGTCCATGGAAAAAAGGAAGACTGTGAGAGAGATTGCCACAGTGGCTGCAACAGTAGGCTCAAACGTGGCAACAAATGTGAGGATGGCACAGATCAGGCAGTTTTTTATACAGTTGTACATAGGATCACTATGAGTTGGAACTGACTCAATGACACCGAACAACATGAGTCATTATCAACTCAGAATAACAGTTTCCCAAATTTATTTGGCCTACTGCCCCCTTTAAAAAGGGGGGGAAATTACTGAGTGCCCCCCTGGTACTGAGTATAATATAGTACATTAAAATTAAAAACTTTCATACTATAGCCCTCAGAAGAAAGATGGGACTTTGTATTCTTGTGAAGAGTTACCATCTTGGAAACCCACAGGGGCAGTTCTGCTCTGTCCTATAGTCTCACTTTGAGGTCATCCTCTCTTGAATGTCAGGTATTGCCCAATGAGAGTCCTGGGTAACGTAAATGGTTAACACATTCAGCAACTGACTGAAAGGTTGGACAAATTACTGCAACAGCTCTCTTGAAACTTAAACAGCAAAGATATAACTTTGAAGATGTAAGTGTGCGTGATCCAAGCTATGGTATTTCCAGTCACCTCGTGTGCTGGACGACGAATAAAGAAAACTGAAGCAGAATGGATACATTTGAATTACATGTTGATGAAGAATATTAAGTAGACTATAGACTGCCAGAAATGAGCAAATAAGTCTTGGAAAAGGATGAAGTATAGTTAGCTCCACAGACATGAAGATGTCAAGACTTCATCTCATATACTCATACTTTGGACATGCTAGCAGGAGGGACCAGTCCCTGGAGAAGGCAATCCTGCTTGGTAAAGCAGAGGGTCAATACAAAAGAAGGAGACCCTCGAAGGGATGAATTGACACAATACCTGCAACAGCTGTCAGGGTGACACGGGCACCGGGCAGTTTTCGTTCTGTTGTATGCAAGGTCACTATGAGTCGAAGCCAACTCAGCCGCACCTAATAAGCTGGACCGGGTTTAAACGTGGTTTTGTTTCTTCAACCTCATGGGTTTTCTCTAAGTTCATTTATGATATGGAGTATGTCACCTGTGTGGTATAATCTGGGGTGGGCTCCATAAACTTACTCTTAATGACTAAATAGTAAAGATTTTAGGTTTTGTAGGCCAGATGTTGTTGTGCTAAGTGTGGAAACAGGAAATGAGTGGATGTGACTGTGTTCCAGTAAAACTTTATGCCTCGTTTGCCAACCCTGATTTAGGACATTCACTATTGCTGTGGCTTTACTATTGTAAGCACATTCATCTTTCAAGTTCCAAACAACTGACTCACAAATGAGTTAATTTTGTAAATAAACTTTTAAAATGCTCTGTGCTCTTTACTTTGGGACTGTCATATGTGAACCTTAATTTTCCACTGTCATAACATTAGTGGTTATTTGTTAACTAGTCCTCTAAATAATAACTTAGAGACTAGAACTTGATCAGTAGAGAATTACCATTTGGAGATTTGGCTGACCTGAAAAGTCTTTTACCTATAATATGTAATGTTACTCATAAACAAACATTTGTGAAATTGAACATTGATCAGCGCAGTCTAATATAGTAGCCACTGGTTACATGAGCATTTGAAATATGAGTAGTACAAGTTGGGATACTCTGAAGTGTGAAATACACACCAGAATATAAGACTTCCCATGAGAAAAAGAAAGCTATAAGTTTTATATGGATTATATATTCAAATGATAATATTTTGAGTGTTTTTGTTTAACGAAAACATATTATCAGTATTACTTTTACCTGTTTTTACATGGAAAACGAGTTACTGGAAAATTTAAATTACATATATGTATTGCACATCCATTTTTGTATTACTGATAGAGTTTGTTCCAGTGACCAAACTTTTATTTCACACTCCAGCTTGTTCTAAAAAGGTTTTGAGATCTCCTTCTCTCTTAATTGGGTCAGAAATGCAGGCTTGATTATAATTTCACAACATAGTGTCAAATTCTGAAATTTCACTGTGGGAATAAGAAGGAATAGTAAAGTTGTACAAAAATGATAGGACTTTGGGAGCTTTTTACATTAAAGTGGTCTTAAATTATAATTTAAGATTTAAAAGGTATAGAGGGAGAGTTTCTTACTGGAAGTATGATAACCTGATTTTATTTTATTTTTTGGATGTAGCTGGTAGACCCTGGGGTTAAAGCCTGGACACCCACGAAAGGGAAGCAGAATGTGATCATGTTTGTTGGATTGCAGGGGAGTGGTAAAACAACAACGTGTTCAAAGGTAAGTCCCATTTGATACACACTTACACCTCCCCAACCAACCCCCCAAAGAAAGCAAACTAACTCATGGTGATGATATGTTTCTCTGCATCAAGTTTCATATTTGAGCTAGACTTTATAATATAATAGACTTTATAAAGTTGCCTTACAATTTTGTGTTATGGTATATTCATGTGTCCATAAGGATTTTGTACTAACTTTTCCTATGATAAGAGAAAATTTTCATAGTATTTCTTTGTTGTTCTAAGAATGATAGACTAGTGTATAATATATAATTCTGTTGCTTATATTTACAAAATGACTCTTTGGGTCCTTTAAGAAGATAACTATGATTTTTGGAGAACATGAAATGTTTATCTTACCATTTATATCTAAAAGAATCCCTTTTTAAGTCTTCCGGTGACCCACTTTAGCATAATACATATCTTCATTTTGTATATCCTTATGTTCATTTGTAATTAACTATACTCTCTCTTCCCTAGAATTGAGTGACTCAACTTTGTTAACATTTTATTTTCTTCCACAAACCTCAATTATATTATAGCTAATAAAAGGCAGATTTACTTCGTAAGAGTTGAGGTTTTTTGTTTGTACCTAATCACATTAACAGTAGTGAACATTTTTCACTCTAGTCATTTGCTTTTCATTTTACATTTTTGAATGTTACTATATGATTCTGGTATGGTATAATTAGAATTTTAATTTTTCAGAAAATATACTGTATTAAAAATATTTTTTTAATTTTCAGAAGAAATATGAACTGTCACTATAAGTGAATAAGAAGGGTGAACAGAGGATGTTATAAGTATCATAATGTATATTTATTGATAACATTATATTTTAATCTTCCCAGTTAGCATATTATTACCAAAGGAAAGGTTGGAAGACCTGTTTGATATGTGCAGACACATTCAGAGCAGGTAATAAAACATTGGAATTTGAACATTGTTCACTGTATTTTTCATTTTCCAATGTGAGGATTCATTAACTTTTTATCTCTTAGGTGCTTTTGATCAATTAAAACAAAATGCAACCAAGGCAAGAATTCCATTCTATGGAAGGTAGGTTCCTGATTATCATTTTGATACGCATGCCTCATTTTGTCTGACTTTTATTTTATGCTCTCTGGTCAAATTTTGGCCTGCTGCCCCCGTTTCAGGGGGAAAAAAATTAGCACTCCCCTGGCCATTGAAAACTGATACTGTAACCCATAATCCAGTGTCAAGTGTAGGTATCTGCTTTTGTAGCCCCCTGCATCTGGATCATTCCAGTGCCACCCAGGGAGTGGTATCACCCATTTTGGGAAATAACTGATATACACCATAAGATTAAATCCTTTCTAGAACAAGGTGGGAGTATGATTAGTAAGTTATTACCTTTTATTATAACAACGTGACACTTCCAGAGTAGACCAATTTTTTTTTTAACCTTTAACTCTGCTTGTACCTAACCTGTGTAGCCTGCTTTCCTATCTCTTCCTACTTCTATTATTTCTTTTAAGACCTCTCTGAAGAAGCATTCCTCTTCCACAAAGGAGAGATTTCCTATCCTTTTTTCTCACCTCTCTGGGATATCAGTTATGCATATGTTGGACTGCTTGATATTATCCCATAGTTCTCTGAAGCTCTCATCATTTATGTTCTTTTATTTTTTCATGTAATTTTTATTGATTTAAATTTGCTGTTCTAATGATGTGGTAAAAAGACGGGGCTTTCTACTCTATAAAGAGTCACAGTTGTCTTCCTTGCCCTATAGGATTGCTACGAGTCATTATTGACTCCATGGGAGCGAGTGTGGTTTTGTTCTATTGCTATTGATTTCTGTTGATATAATGTTAAAGTTACTCTTTTTCTCCCTCCAACTATTGTTGAATCTGAACTAGTGAATTTTTTTTCATTTTAATAATTGTACTTTTAAGCACCGGAATAGTTTTTCTTAATAGTTATTAATTTTTTTCTACCTCTTCATTGAGTAGACCTACTTTCCTTTAATAATTAAAACTTACTTAAATACATTTTAGAGAATATATTAACAGTTTTGATGTTTTATCTGCTACATCCAACATCTGGACCCTTGCAAAGTAAATGTCCAAAAATTTTTTTCTTCTAAAAATTAGACCATATTTTCTTGTTTGTTGATAGGTTTAGTATGAAAGAACTTCAGAAAAGCTCACAGAGAAATGGAATGAATAGATAATGGAATTGCTGCGTGAACTTTTTGAGCCCCCTTTTTATATTGATGGATTCTGTATTTTTTCTTTCTTTTTTTCTAAACTTTCTCTTGTGCATTGAGTGAAGATTTCCTGAGAAAATCAGTTTATATTCATTATCTCAGACACATTTTGTGCAATCCTTTCCCACTTCTTTGCTTTCTGTTTTCCTGTTTCTATTCCTTCTCCTTTCCTCACCCTTCTGAACTTTGTCCTTGGGTAAATGCTCTTTTGGTCTTAACTGACTGTGATTCTAAGGACTGAGTACTCCACTAGTGTTACTGTTCCCCTTGTAGACCTGTTTGGCTGAAAATTGAGCCAGTGGGGTGAGTTCAGTTCCAGACCTGAAGGGTGACTAAGGGCCTGGGAAAATGGAACTGGACTTCTGCCAGTTTCTCTCTGACCAATGATCCTGGTAGTTTTTATGATTTTTAATTTAGTTTCACATTTGCTTCTCACTCCATCCGGGGCTTTCTAATGGGATTTGGAGCAGTTGGTAATGGTTGCTATGCTCCCTGTTGTTTCCTATTATATCATTTAAAACATTCCATGTTTATTCATTCAAAACTAAGTTCTCATCCATCTCTCTGTTTTATCTAAGGAACAGATTCTCATCATTGCTATTCATATTTACTATGCTTCTGTTCTATTAATTTGTGTGCTTAGTTACTTAAGAGAATCAAGTTTAGATTGAATTTAGGGAGGATTTATTTGAAGAAATAAGGAGCCTTGTTGGTGCAGTGGGTTAAACATGCTAACTCCAAGGTCAGTGGTTCAAACCCACCAGCCTCTCCATCAAAGAAAGATGAAGTTGTGTTTGCTCCTGTAAAGATTTGTAGTCTCAGGAACACTGCCATATAGGGTTGCTTTCATTTGGAATGAACTCGTTGGCAGTGAGTGGTTTATTTGAGGGATACACTTTTTTGAAATTATTCATATAAATGATCGATTATATTTTCAGGGAAAAAGTTTTAAAAAGACTGATTTGAAGGTATTAAATGAATGATCTGGTTTTGTTAGTCATCTCAATCATCACCTTTTTTGGCTGGCCAAAAAAGTTAGTGAACTTTGTAGTATGTATATTCTTTATTTCCTTAAGCCATTTTTTTTGGGTAATTTCTAGCATATAGGTTAAGAAATAATGCTATAAATTTTTTAAAGAATAAAAAAGTTGCCCGTGTTTTGACTTCTGTTGAGCTTATAGGTATCAGTACAACTATAGGTATCAGTACAACTGCTCTCCATATGGTTTTCAAAACTTGATTTTTCAGAAGTATATCACTTGGCTTCTCTTTAAAGGCAGTAGCCTCCAACTTTGCAGTGAACAGCTAAGTATGTTAACTGCTTATCCTCCTCAGGAACTACCTTTGAGGATAAGAACTACATCTAATAATGTTTTAAAACTCAGGAGGATATCATCAATTTACAAATGATACAGTTTAGATGATAATAATTTAAATGTTGGCCAGAGTATTAATCTTTAGCCAGGGTTCTCAGTACCATTTATGAATAATCTCTGCTTTCCCCATATAAATGTTAAAGCATACTCTCTGTGCATACTATTAATAATGATGGTTCCCACTGGAATGGAGAAAGGAAATGGGACGGAAATGAATTAGAGCTGTGTCTCTAATGTTAAATGTACAAATCTAGAATACAAGAGGACAGTTACATTTATCCTTTTGTGCACCAGATACAAGTTTGTAGGTTATGTTACCTGCCCTCTCTTTATAAAAATCAATACCATTTTAATGAAACAAATGAAAATACCAGTAGTGTTACATTTTAATTGTCAGGTGTGAGTCTGTTCATCCATACTTTTTTCAATACTTATACAAATGAATAGTCACATAGATATGTGTGTACAAATATATTGTTTTAAATTAAAATGGGATCTTAGTGCTTTATACCTTGATTCCTGTGGCACTGGTTTTAAAGGATGTGTTAATTATCAAAACTCACCAAAATGAACAACTTAAAACGGTGTATTTTATTGTATGTAAATATACTACTTTAGGGTTGATTTTTAAAAATGGGATATTGGTAATTACAAAATGGATAATACACTGCTTAAATTCCTTATATGGCATCAGTGTATTTCATTGTGTGTATGTATATAATCTTATGAATGTTTCTGACTAGAATTTTTTATACATTTATAAATTTTAAAACTGGCATCTTATAGTTAGCAGCCCAACACGTAACCACTCTGCCACCAGGGCTCCTACAAACTGGCATCTTTATTACCTTGTTAAACATCAAATAGTGCTAATCTCTCTTATTTTCCATATTTTCTTAATTGTTCTCACTTGGCTATTTTTCTTGATGGATTTTAGAATTCTTTATCAAGTTTCAAAATGAAAAATTTCCCTAATACTTTTATTTACATTTAAATGTAAATGTAAATACATTTAAATGAATTACATTTAAACTAATTCATTTGAGGTTAATTGATAGCTTTACTGTACTTATATAGTTCCATTTAGAAACACACTTTGTATTATTTGTTCAAAAACTTTATGTCCTTACGTACAATGATTTCATATGTTTCATACATGTATGTACCTTATTACATATATTTCTACCTGATGTTTGTTACTATGCTGTTATTAATATTTTGGGAGGAAGAAACATGTTTCGACATTTTATGTCTTTTCATAGGGAGTCCAGGTGGTGTAGTGGGTTACATTTTGGGCAACTAACTGCATGGTCTGCAGGTCAAATACAATTTGCAGGAATGTGTCATAACAGCATTAGAAAGAAATATACAGCAACTACATAGTATTTGTAGTGACTATACTTTTAACAAGAAGTAGAGCAAACCTTAAACGTCTAACAATAGGTTATTTAGTAAATGATAGTGTAACCCTTTGATGGAATTCTATGTAGAAAAATTGTTTTACAAGGCTATTTATAGATTTATAAAATGCTCACAAAAGGATGTTAAACAGAAAAACAGGGACAAAACACTGTCATGGCAATTCACTTCTTAAAGAGATGAGAAAAAATTTAGCAAAACCGCTCATTTAGAAAACTCATACAGCAAAGTCATAAAGGGTTTTGTAATTGGATACTTGTATACCAGCCTATAGTGCTCTAGAATTACATGGTTATGTTTATTAGTTTTTATATTATTCTTCTAAATTAAAATTGTGATCATTTGGCTTTTTCAGAATAGATTAAGAATAGACTAAAGATTTCCAAATTAATAGAATTGTCCATGTTAAATAGCTATACAGAAATGGATCCTGTTATCATTGCCTCTGAAGGAGTGGACAAATTCAAAAACGAAAATTTTGAAATTATTATTGTTGATACAAGTGGCCGCCATAAACAAGAAGACTCTTTGTTTGAAGAAATGCTTCAAGTTGCTAATGCTATAGTAAGTGGTTTTTAATGTAATGTCACTGTAAGACTTTCATTAATTAAATTATGAAATTGAGTTTATGGGCAATATGATAACCAAGTATCTGTGTGATGAGATCTGAATTTGTACATCACATTTGACTTCCGTTAGAGGTGAAATTTTCATGAGTATCAACACTTTTTTCACAGTTAATTCTATTAGTATGTATAAGTTAAAGAAAAAATCCCACATAAGCATTAATAAGGGTTAATCTTCAATATTTGCTCATTTTATTCTGTAAATTACTTAAATTTAATTGAAATAATTTCAGATGAATTTTGAATTTCCAATCTGCAGCATTTAATAAACTAATCATTATTTGGTGGGTGAGGGGAGGCGCCGGACAGTGTAATATAAGATACAATAATAATTTATAAATTATTAAGGGTGCATGGGGGAAAGGGGAGGAGGAAGGGAAGGGGAGGGGGGGAAAAAAAAAAAAAGGAAAATGAGCGGATTCCGGGAACCCAAGAGGCAAGCGAATTTTGGGAATGATGAGGGCAACAAATGTATAGATGTGCTTTACACAATTGATCTATGTATTGTGATGAATTGTATGAGCCCCAATAAATTGATTAATTAAAAAAATTGTAATAAATAACTTGTGGAAGAGAAGCAGTTTTATAAATATCTGTTTATACACCCCAATGCAAACATGCATTGCTAGAGGTTGTTTTAACTTTGCAATTTTGGGGTTATTGGTTAATATTGTTTCTTTTTTAGTTATGTCATTATTTTGACCGAAAGAAATAGCTTTACCTCTTATTTTATTTATTTCACTTTATACTCTTCTACTCTTTATTTTTCTCTATTTCACTTTTGCTGTTTCTTTTTTCAGCTGGGCCATATTTTTTCACAGCTGTTTCTTCTTTACTCAGGTGCAGCTTAAATGTTATTTCTAGAGAGGTCTTCCTGACTACTTTATCTAAAGAAATCGCTCACACCTCAAAACTGATATTCTCTCTGCCATTTTAATTTTTGTACATCTGAAAGGTTTATTTACCTATTTATTTTCCATTTGCTGTGATTAGAATATAAAATATGTGAGGACAAGGATTTTCTTATTCTGTGTCCTCAAAACCTAGATGCTACCCTAATACATAGTACTCCCTCAAAAAATATTGGTTGAATAAATATTACTTTAGAACAAATAGTTTTGCAGCTTCTAATGGTAAATTTAAGATCAGTAAAACATGTATTTTTTGTATTTAAACTTTCTAGCAACCAGACAATATTGTTTATGTGATGGATGCCTCCATTGGACAGGCTTGTGAAGCCCAGGCCAAAGCTTTTAAAGATAAAGTAGATGTAGCTTCAGTAATAGTGACAAAGCTTGATGGCCATGCAAAAGGTGGTGGTGCACTTAGTGCGTAAGTATCATTGATGCTGTCCTGTGTCTTAGAGTTATATATTGTGTGTGCTTATGGCTTTCTTACTGGTAGTTTGAAATACATTCCAATAATATAATATGACCTATGAAATAAAACCAATTTTGGAGGTTCTGTGGGATAGTTCTGATACAATGAAAAGAAACTTGAGTTATACACTTCTGTCTAACTGTCCACTGGAAATTGTTCTCTCTTTTGAAGTTACTTTCTGTTTCTTTTTCTTTCCAGAGTTGCTGCCACAAAAAGTCCAATTATTTTCATTGGTACAGGGGAACATATAGATGACTTCGAGCCTTTTAAAACACAGCCTTTCATCAGCAAACTTCTTGGTAAGTATAATGATGGGGACACAAATATCTGCAAGAAATAGACTTGACTTCATGACAGATTGGGATTCTAATCCTGTCTTCTCACAAACTAGTTAGGAAAATAATTTGCCGTTATGACTTATCTGAGGAGCCCTGCTAATGCTAACTTGTTAAAGCACTTGGCTGCTAAACAAAAGGATATACTTTGAACCCACTAGCCCCTCCATGGGAAAAGGATAGGGCAGTCCTCTTCTGTAAAGACCACAGCCTTGAGGTGCTTCTACTCTGTACTATAGGATTGCAGGAGTCAGAATCAACATATTAGCAGTGGGTTGGTTTTGGTATGACTTATTTTCTTCCTCTGTAAGACATCACTCACTCACTGCCATCGAGTCAGTTCTGACGCACAGTGACCTTATATGACAGCATAGAACTGCCCCTTTGGATTTTCAAGACTAATTCTTTTTTTTAACCATTTTATTGAGGGCTCTTACAGCTCTTCTAACAACCCATCCGGCCATCCTTGTGTCAAGCACATTTGTATACATATGTTGCCATCATCATTTTGAAACAATTTCTTCCTATTTGAGCCCTTGTTATCAGCTCCTCACTAAGACTGTAACTTTTTATTTATTTATTTTCTAAAAGGTGACTTTTTTTTAAAAATCATTTTATTGGGGGCTCATCCAACTCATCACAATCCATACATACATCCATTGTGTCAAGCACATTTGTACATTTGTTGCCCTCATCATTCTCAAAACATTTGTTTTGAGCTTGAGCCCTTGGTATCAGCTCCTCATGTTTTCCCCACTACTGTAACTTCGTGGGAGTAGAAAGCCTCCTCTTTTGCCTTCAGTGCAGCTGGGGATTTTGAATTGCCGGCCTTGAGGTTAGCAGCCCAACACGTAACTATTACTCCAGCTTATGGTTATTCCTTTGTGGTCAGAGTATTGAAAGGAGAATACTTGATGAAAAGTTCTTTAGAAACGTTTTACAGCACAATACAAAAATATATCATGGTGGTGGTAGTAACAATAAAATATGCGTAATGTCTCAAAGTGGTATAAAGAGCATGAATTTGGAGTTAAGCTCTCCGCTGGAGTCCTTGCTATCTCACCTCTTTATTATCATTTAACTTCTCTAGCTTCACTTCTTTGTGTAATGCATCAGTACCTGATTTGCCTACTGCACAGGACTGTTAGGTATATGAACATCTTAAAATATTGTGAAGCAAGGTATTCTATTCATTTTTCTTTTTTTATCCTTCATAGGTATGGGTGACATTGAGGGATTGATAGATAAAGTCAACGAGTTGAAGTTGGATGACAATGAAGCCCTCATAGAGAAGTTGAAACATGGTATACGAATGGCAAGAAAGCGTTTGATTTCATATGTTTCTCCTTGAGTTCATTCTGAGAAAACTAGTTTGGAATGATATTTATTAATCTAGATGAGTTATGTGTGAATAATTATAAAATTAACTAATGTATGTAGACAATCTAGCTTATCATAAACATTCAGTAATATTATTATTGATCATTCCAGTTCTACTCAAAATTATCTTTTTCCTTAATTTCCATGACTGCGTAGTCTTCTGCCTCTGCTCTTTCTTATTCACCAATAATCTATGTCTTTACCTTTTTCTTAGATGGTGGTATTTTTATGCTTCATTCTAGGCCTTTTTTTTTCTTTCAGAGCTTCAGGCTCATGTTTAATGTTTACAAGACCTTTCTTAGGTATTCTATTATTCTTGTCGTAGTTCCTGTCAAATCTGTTGTGACTCATGGTGACTTTATGAGTAATAGTGTGGGGTTAAAGGGAAGAGGGAACCCCACAAAACCACAGGTTCGGTAGGCGCAATTGCACAGCGATAATACGTAGAGATTATAGTAAAGTCATAGAGAGCATGAGAGTTAAAAGATGGAGTCAAGTAATGGAGTCAGACGCAATTCATGGTAGCATTGCTCACCTCAGCTCCGCTTGATGGTCTTCGTGGAGGGGGCTTAGCCATCAGAGAAGAAGCCACTGCTTCGTCCTCCTTAGCCACCTTCTCCAGCCACCCTTGGCCAGCCACCCTCCCGAGAACCAGGGAGCCTCCTTATTTATTGCTAACCACGCATCTTATTACTTTAGGGGGATACATCACAGCATCATGCATCACAGAGAGGGGCAATACAATTCATTCTTGAACAGGTTTGACCATTCTGGTGTCTCATACAATAAAGCAGGCAATTACTATCCTGGGAGGCATGCAAGCCCCCTGATAGCAGATAACAACCTACGTCATAGAGAGGGGATGTAACATAGGCAATACAAGCAATAGGAGGGGGATGACCTAGGGGTGAACGTACAATAGTAAGAGGAGGGAATAGGGGGGCATGTGTGGCAAGATAGTAGCCTAAGCTTAGTCATCTTAGAGTGGTCCCGGGCTTGCCTATGGGCACTGCTTCAAGGGAACAATAACAGAAAGGAATGGGCCCTATTTGGGGTGAGTCAGACTATGCAGTCTGGCCACTCTAGGTGGCTGATGTTAAGGAGAATAACCTCTGACCTATTTTCGCTGCCTAATGAACAGTCATTCTCAAGCTAAGTGGCATATATTTTGGGGAGACAACTTAAGAGAAATCCTTCTGTTCCTAACATAATAGAAAGAAACATTGCTGGTTGGTGCCATCATCGTGATTATTGATCATTTTTATTTCATTGTTGGGGCTAATTTGTCAACCCTTCTCATTTAGTATTTCCTTCATTTTTACTGATCTGAACCTCTACCAGACGTGCTATTACAAGGAAGACTTGTAAGGATCATTCTGGTTACATTTCTTCGAAGACTGATTTGTTTGTTCTTTTGGCAGTCCTAGTATATTCAGTATTCTTTGCCAACATCAAGAATCAAATGCATCGATTCTTCATTTGATTTCTTTCCTTCTGTTTCTAAAGACTTTGATTGTTGATATAAGTAGAAGGAAATTGTTGACAACTTCTACTTTTTCTCCATTTACCATGATGTTGCTTATGGGTCCAGTTGGGAACATTCTGGAGGAGCCCTAGTAGCATAGTAGTTACTGATTGGGCTGTGATCTGAAAGGTCCACATTCTGAAACTGCCAGCCACTCCAAGGGAGAAAGACGGGGCTCTCTATTTTCGTGAACAGTTACACCCTCTGAATCTCACAGGGACAGTTGTACGCTGTACTATAGGGCCACTGTGTGTCGACATAGACTCAGTGGCAGTGAGCTTTCTTTTTTTGTAGTTTGGGAAGATTTTTGTTTTATTCTTGGGATATTCTATAGACAACTCAAATTTAACATCTCTATCACCATATATCCTAGCCTTTTACTCCATTGTTGCTGATAGTGAATATTAACATTACCCATTTTGTCAGAGTCAGCAATCTGTGTCTTGTCATTGACTAGCTCTTCCTCATTCGGTCTTCTTTCATTGGTCAATAAGTCCTAATGATTATACCTCCTCAATAAAATATCAACATTCTTGTTTTCTTCAGCTTCTTTGCAACTCTAATAGTTCATACAACCCAGATCATCTTTTGCCTACATCACTTACTAAAAGTCTATACAGATCTTCCAACTTTCTTTGACCTAGTTTTACACTGCAACCAAAATGAACTTTCCTAAATGGCTCCACCACCTAGCCCACATTTTGAACATTTTTTAGAGAGAGAGAGAGAGAGAGAGTGTGTGTGTGTGTGTGTGTGTGTGTGTGTGTGTGTGTTGGGGGAGTGCTTTGTTTTTACCATTCACGCCCCAGCCATACTAAACTTCTCAATTTCTCAAATGCAGAGCGCTCTCAGTGTGGGGCCTTTACCTTTGTTAGGCCTTTGGTGTCAGCTAGACATGTGTTCTCTTTTTCCTTCCTCTACCTTAGTATCCTGCCAAACTGGCTCAGCCCTGCTCAGACTTCAGATGGCTCCTTAAAGTCCTCATTCAGAGATCGTTTCCTAATCCCTACTTTAAGTTAGAACCCGTGCTGTACATTTCCGTCACACCCTATAATTGTCATATTACTCATCACGTTAACTTGATGTCTGTCTTCCCTTCTTAAGAGTAAAGGTGGAGTTCACAACTGTGTTTTTTCATCTTTCATATTCACAGGAGCTAGCACGGTGTCTGGCAGTCAAGAAATAGTTGATGATTCTTCCCCAAGTGCCATTGCCCACCCACCCCCATGCCATCCCCTTTCTTTCACTTAAATAATGTGGCTCTGCCTCCACTATCCCTGTGACTGCTTCCATTTGGGGGGGTTCCAGTATTTGACAGTGTTAGCTGCCTTTGACTTTTTGGAATTCTTCACTTGATTTCCATAACAGGAATTTCTTATATAATTCAAACTTATCTAGTCAAGTATCTAGTCTTTTAATTTTTGTTATTATCAAGCCCTTTAATTTTAGTCATTCTAATAGGTAAAGTGTCTCTGCCTTGTTTTAAGAAGTTTTGTAAAATTGTATAGGCCTGTCTTCTCTGATACTATAAGCTTCTTTAGAATATGATCTTTTTCTGTATAGTCTTTATAATAGTCATTTTGTGATCGTGTGTGTGTGTGTGTGTGTGTTATAGAGTAACTAGTGGATATTTATAAATGTGCTTCACAACGAACTCATAATAAAAAGATTCATTTTATTGAATTGAAACATTCATCTATTGTTATCATTTGTATTTCAGGCCAGTTTACATTACGAGATATGTATGAGCAATTTCAAAACATCATGAAAATGGGCCCCTTCAGTCAGATTCTGGTTAGTTATTGTAAAAAAAAAAATTTCTACCTAATTTTATTGTTCATTCAAATTTCTAACAATATATGCATTTCCTTTTCGTTGTTTTTAACATTTTGGTATTTGAAGACTTCATATTAAAATTAAAACTAATAGTTAATTGTGAACAGTCTGAGCCACCTTAAATGATTACTAATTACATATTTAAAAATGTGTATTTTAGGGGATGATCCCTGGCTTTGGAACAGATTTTATGAGCAAAGGAAATGAACAGGAGTCAATGGCAAGGTTAAAGAAATTAATGACGATAATGGATAGTATGAATGATCAAGGTAAGATGGTGTGCTACTTGGAAAGTGATGTTCTAAATATCAGCAAGTTGAGAGTTTTATTATATCCTTGTGAATAAGATGGGAGAGCTGGAAGATTATTATTGGGTATATTTATAGCAACTTGAAAGCCTTATGTTTATTGGGTTGACTTCATTGTTGAGAAATGTCTATCACACGGCTTTTACAGATGAGCCCCGTGGATAGAGCGCTCGTTCTCCATGATGTTGGTAGAATTAACTTAAAAGGGGGTGGGGCAAAGTAAAATTTGGGAATGCTGGCTTAAGCAGAGTTTATTAAATTTACTTATGGAAACTCGTACAGCTTTAATATGTACGCTAGAAATATCTGTAAGAGTGGGTTAACTTAAGCAATGTTGACAAACTTCTTTGCTGTGAAACCCTCAAGATATCAGTCTTCTGAGACGTATACTGCTTTTACCTTTGTAATTCTACTCCTGCACATCATTTCTTTACATGATCCTTAGCCCATTAGCATTTCTATTCTATGGCTCCTTCTATTCCCAGAGTTTTAACACTCTTTTTCATGTTATCTAGCAGATATAAAGCTTTATCATCCTTTTCAGGCTTTTTACTCTGTATGAATGGTGTTTATTGGTTGTTCTAGGAATTACAATATAATTAGTATAATTTACCATTTCTAATGGAATGTAGAAATCTTAGCCTTACCTTAGAATTAATATGTTCTATTTGTGAAATAATTCTTTTATCTGTTCTCTTTCCTTTGTGTGTACTGATGCTGTATTAGTGTACATGCTTAGCATTTTCCTGGGTTACTGCGCCAACCTCCTAACATTTCCCTTTTTTTTCATCACTTCTCTCTCAATCTGTAATCCTCACTGCTATCAAAGCATCTTTCTAAGAATAAACATTCTGGGGTCATTATCTTCATAATGAATGCTAAACTTTTAGTCATGGCACCTAAATTAATAATTAAATTAATAGCAAATAAATTAATCAAAACAATAAAATAATGAAATTAATAAATGTAATCTTATCCTTATCAACTGTTACAGTCTCTTAATTCTCTCTACTCTCTGGGCATGTTTCTTACACACACAATTAATTTAGTTTGTCTCAGAAGCTCTGTTTTCCTTCCAGGAATGTTGTTTTTTCCTTTCTCTTAATTTATACTTACACTTCAAGACTGCTTAGCTAAAGGAAGCCTATCACGCCTTTTCTGATTTATTTCCTTTCTTAAAGTTTTCTTTTACCATTTCCTTAGGGCTGGCATATTGCTTTCCATAATGTGCTGTCATTAATCTGTTTTCCACTTGATTTGCGCTCCTGGAAAAAATAGAATACTGTATGTTTCTTAAATATTTTATAATGAATTTGTGACTTTAAAGATGCAGTTTTGAAATGTATTTAGAGGTGTAAACTAAGTTTTTATGAGATAACCTTTGCATTGCTTTCATAATCCAGCTTCACCTGAATTTCGGCTAACTTCTGCACAATATGTATAAAAGGATACAGACAAATTAGATGATCTATTTAGGAAATCAGGATAATAGAAGAGGTTGTAAACCATGTTATAAGAGGAATGTAAACAGTTGGATATTTGTCACCTAGAGAAAATTCACAGGAAATGCAATAACTCTCAAATGTTTGAAAGCCTAATCTTTTTTCCTGGCAAGGAGATAAGAGACCTATGTGAATAGGAACACATGCCCAGCAATCATATTTAGATTTAATATTTACAAAAATGTCCCGTAACTATAGCTTTGTCCCTATGCCTGGTGGCATAATGATTCTGAGTTTGGCTGCTAACTGCAAGGTCGCAGTTAGAAACCAGCAGTCGCTCCTCGGGACAGAGACGGGCCTTTCTACTCCCATCGCAGTCACAGACTTGGAAACTCACAGGCGCAGTTCGACCCTGTCCTATAGGGGTGCTATAAGCTGGCATTGACTCAATGGCAGTGAGGTTTTGTTAGTTTGTTTTAAATAACTATGCCAGAATGACATTGTTAGATTATTAGTGTTGCATGCTGTTAAGTCAGTTCCTACTCATAGCAACGTACCTACCATGTTTCCCTGAAAACGAGACATACCCATAAAATAAGCCGTAGCAGGATATCTAAGCATTTGCGCAATATAAGCCATACCCCGAATATAAGACCTAGTGACAGGCGTGGCTCTGCAGCGCACTAGCGCGGAGTGGTCACTAAAATGGGCAGCCCTTCTCGTCTGCCCCCTCGTGACAGCTGCTGCCTCGGAGGTGACCAAAGAGGTGTGGGCAGCCCCATCCACAAGGTCGGCTCCCCTGTCAGGTCCCGTTCGTTCTATGCGTGCTGCAAGCTGAGGCAGAGAGGGAGACAGAGACAGTGAAAGCAAGTCTCCTCCATGAAGTGAGGAGCAGGATGCTCTGCTTTAGGTATTGTGTGTCCTCAGGGGAAGGAGTAATGCTGTGGCTGCCGTTTGACTCAGCACTGTGGGTCGATGTTCCAGAATAAGACGACTTAACTATGCGTGAATAAATGTAGAACATTGTACCATACTTAATAAAAATAAGACATCCGCCGAAAATAAGCCATAGTGTATCTTCTTGAGGAAAAAACAAATATAAGACAGTGTCTCATTTTCAGGGAAACACGGAATGTACAACAGAATGAAGCACTGCCCGGTCCTGCACCATCCTTGTAATCACTGTTAGGTTGGAGCCCCTGTATCAGTATATCTTGTTAAGGGTCTTCCTCTGTATCGATGCCTTCTATTTTACCAAGCATAGTGTTCTTTCCCTGGGTCTGGTCTCTCCTGGTAACATGTCCAAAGTACAGGAGACACAGTGTTACCCTCCTCGTTTCTAAGGAGGATTCTAGTTGTACTTCTTCCAAGACAGATTTGTTCTTCTGGAAGTCTCTGGCATTTCAGTATTCTTTGCCAACACTGTAATTCAAATAGATTACTTCTCCTTTGGTCTTGGTCTTCCTATTCCCTGTCCTGCTTTCACCTGCGTATGAGGCTGTTGAAAATACCATGGTGGATCAGATGTAGCTTAGCCATCAAAGAGACATCCTTACTCTTCGGTACTTTATAAAGAGGTCTTATGCAGCAGATTTGCCTAATATAATGTGCTTGATTTCTTGAATGCTGTTTCCATGTGTATTGTTCATGGATTCAAACAAGATGAGATCCTTAGTTACAGGCCACACCAAAGGCTGCTATTTGTTTTTCATTAGCAAATGCTTCAATTCTTCCTCACCTTCAGCAAGTAAGGCTATGTTATCTGCATATCTGCAGTATGCCTTATTAAGCAGTTTGTCATAATTCCTAGGTATGTTAGACCAAAGTTAGATGACTACTTATTGGGGGAGATATTGTAGGAAGACAATACAGATTTTTTTGTATTTTACTTGAATTATGGGTGATACTATGTGTATTTTATCTCTTTAAAAATTATATCACCTAAGCTCTGTGATGTTATATATTGCCTATTTGTAAATAACTGCTTTGATAATTGTTGAAGTGTTCTATGTAAGTAAAAATAATTGGCCCTTGCCTACAGAACTGGACAGTACAGATGGTGCTAAGGTTTTTAGTAAGCAGCCTGGAAGAATCCAAAGAGTAGCAAGAGGATCAGGTGTGTCAACAAGAGACGTCCAAGAACTTTTAACACAATATACTAAATTTGCACAAATGGTGAAAAAGATGGGTGGTATCAAAGGACTTTTCAAAGGTAAGAAAAATAACAAACCCCTTGTTAGTTACCAGATTGAAAGGAAAGAAGGAAATAGAGAAACTAAAACTTAAAAGTGGACATACTACTATCAGTATTGGAAAATTCACCACTGAATTTCATGTTATATTTAAGTATTTTCAGGATTTATAATGTGATCTGTAAATTGTTTTCAGGTTCAGACTTTTTGGTGTGCATTAATACTAAAAACAAAAAATTAATACAAGAAACGTAATTTTATTTTAATAAATGTTTAATATGTATTTAGAATATTTATAGACTACAAGAATGTATTTGTTAAAAATTACCTTTACTCAGAATATCTCAGGGATTCTTTTGCAAAAGGATATTTGTAATTACTACATTTGTATGATACATCATGATTATTTTTCCATAATGCCAAATTATTCATCAAAATAAAATTTTAAAGCACTGAACACAATGCATTCCAATTGAATGTTATGTAAAATCTCTTTATTGGGCTGATTCCTATTAGGGCTATTAAAGTTGATGTGTTACATTCTTAGGCATCTATTTTATACAGATTTTGATTTCTTGAAGGATACATTACTATTAGCTTATGGCCATTCTTAAGGTTTTACTACATGTTTCTGGGGGATTATTTATTCTCGAGATAGGTTGAACAAATTTATATTCTTGATAATCAACAGGATTGTCAGTTTTTTTTGCAGTCTTTTTTAGGGTTAGGGATTTTTATGTCTTGATCAGAAATATGCTTGATGCTGAATATGCTTTGTAATAATTTAGTATTTCCGTATAAGTGGTCAGTATCTTTTCAACGACTTTTTAAAATAACCGAAGTGTAACACTTCTTTAAATATCTACTGGTTTGAATTTCTTTTGTGAATCACTGCTTCCTGTTTCTTGCCCTTTTGTGTTTTGTTTCCCCTAACAATTTTGTAGTAACTTTAAAATTTCTGGTTTCTGTCTGCAAATATTTTTCTCTACTTTTTAATTTGCTTTTTAAAAATATTTTCAATAAACAAAAGTTTTCACTTTTAATGTAGTTAAGCCTATCCATCTTTTCCTGTATGATTTTTTTAAAGATCATAAACTTCTCCCCCATGTCAACACCATAGTAGTGTATGTTTTCTGTTTTACTTTTTTCCTGATACTAATTTAGCTGTGTGTGAGGTAAGATGATGTTTGTTTCCAAAGAGTTAATCACCTGCCCAGTATTTTGGTTTCGTTTTCCATAATATCAATACCAAAATGAATTTATTATTCTTTAAAATGTTGATTAGGCTGTTAAGTAAATGACAAATAATAACACTTTCTAAAAACAGTGAGTACTTACAGATTTTTTTAAGTCACATTTTTATCTTTGACCCTTTATTATTCTTGCTTGCTGTATTCTACTTTTTTCTTGTGACACAAAAGTTATCTAAATAGGAATCTTTAAAATTCGCTAATTCCCAACAGTATATGTTATTGCCAATAGTAATTAGTAAATATATCAGTTTACTATGTGAGAGGACTTAAGGTTTATGGAAAAATTGAAATAAAAGACAATGGAATTTTTTCACAAAATCTTTGAAGCCTTCTTTATATTTCCCAAATGACTGACTGTTGATAGAACCTACTGCAGTTTCTTCAGTCCAATCATATATATGAATGCTCTGTAAAGGCACAACCAACATCCGTGTCACACTACCCTAGTAATTTTTTTTATGTTTTAAGTCCTTGAAACAAACTCAGAGTAAATCAGCAATGAACATGGAAATTCATATCTTCCACTGGTTTAGCGATCATGAATTTTTCACAGATTTTTTAATGTTTTGACATAAAAATATCTTGTATTCATTCACAATTTACAGTTGGTTATTTGTATAATTTTTTCAGGTTAGCCAGTTTTGATCAGAGATTAAAGGCAGCTTTGATTTTTGTTTTCATTAATTGCTCCTAAGAAGTACTATACTTAATAATCCTCCAAAAATCAAAATTTTGCTGAGACATCTATTTATTTCTTGATGTTTCAGTGACTTTTTACTTCTTGTCTCTTTTGAGAACAAATATTCTCAGAAGGATGCTTTCAGCCTTTCAGCTCCTGACTGCATTTCTTTCATTGGCTTTCCTGTTTACTGTGGAATTTCAGCTAAGTCTGTGGAAATTCATTAACAAATGAGGATGCATTTTTTTTCTCTGAATGCATCTTTAATGCATTTTTTCTCTATGCATTTTTAACCTCTGAAGTTTTCTTTATTTTTTACATTATCTTAACATTTAGAAGTCTTTTCTCTCATAGATTCATTCTGTCATGCAAATTTATCAACAATCCAATCTCTTATTTGATTGACTTGTGTCTATTACTTAAACTTAGCTCTTTGGTTAGCATTCCCCATATTGCTACTAAATAATTGTTGTTATATAGTAACATTAATAACCAGTGGAAATAGTTTTGCCTATAGAAGCTAATCCAGAAGTATAAATAATATTAACAAATATCTTAGCCCTTAGGAAAGTCCCTTTAATGTTCCTTAATTGTTTAAGAATAGAATTTTACTTTTTCTTTCTCAAAAACACAATATACAAATGATAAAAAATTAAAACAATACATTAAAATAGAAATAGCTATCAGTGATATATTTTTCCCTCTGTATTTCTCAATTCATCAAACTTTGCTTGCTATATGATTACTATATTTTTTACAAAGTACCCATATAAATAACATGCACGTCACAGCATAGCACGAACAGTGGTTTTCAAAGCCCATATAATGTCCATATTGCTTGTGTAAATATTTATGTTGTATATTTTATAGTGGTACAGCCATATTTTTTTCTTATACAGGTGGTGACATGTCTAAGAATGTCAGCCAGTCTCAGATGGCAAAATTGAATCAACAAATGGCCAAAATGATGGATCCAAGAGTTCTTCATCATATGGGTAAAAAATACAAAGTTGTTTACAGTTGCTCATACTGTTAAGGACCAAGTTTCAGTAACAGAGTTATTGTTTTCATATTTTAAAAATCTGTTCAAAAGCTGTGGTATTAACGCAGTGGGTCTCAACCTTCCTAAAGCCACAACCCTTTAACACCATTCTTCACGTCTGGTATCCCCCAACCATAAAATTATTTTCATTACTACTTCATAACTGTAATTTTGCTAATGTTATGAACCGGGCAACCCTTGTGAAAGGGTCAATCGACCCCCAAAGGGGTCACGACCCACAGGTTAAGAACCGCTATATTAAAGGAAAATGATTATATGAATCTTAAGGTGAATGGTTGTCTTTTTTCTGTTTGAGCTTAGGTTTTAATCATTCCTATTTTGCCGCTGTGTGATTTTTTTTTAAAGCAAATTATTTAACCCTCTTTTGTTAATTTTGCTATTCTAGTGATCTTTTACCCTATTTAGAAACCTGCATATTTTCAAAATCTGTGAGAGTCTAGAGTTTAATGGGACTGGGAGGTTTTCCCATATCTCTCAAGTTTGCCACTTTTTATAGTGTGTTATCTTTACCCTTTCCTATCATTCTCCATCAGTAGGAAATACATTTTCTTTGCTTCACACAGATTCTTGCTTTCACAAATTATATTGAAAAAAGATTTTACATCCTATTTTTATTATTTAATCTTTGAAAAATTCCTTAAACTTTTGACCCTCATTTTCCCTTCTGTAAAATGACAATGTCTCAGTAAGAAATTATGACATTAAATGAGCTAAGAAGCCCCAGTGGTACTGTGGGTTAGTTGTTGGGCTGCCAACTGCAGGTTGGATGTTCAAACCGACCAGCCACTCCAAGGGAGAAAGATGATGCTGTGTGCTCTGTAAAACTTTATTGTCTCAAAAATCCTATAGAGCAGTTGTACTTTGTTCTTTGGAGTCGCCGTAAGTCAGAATTGACTTGACAGCAGTGGGCAATGTATATGAAAGCATTTAGAACAGCTCTGAGTAGTCCTGGTGTCACAGTGGTGAAGCACTAGACTACTAAACTACCAAGTGTGAAAGGTCAGTGATTGGACTCCACCTCCCTCTACATGGGAGGAAGATGCAGCAATCTGCTTTGGTATGAATACAGTCTTGGAAATATGTGCAGTTGTATTCTACAGGGTTGTTGTGAGTCACCCTTGACTCGTTGACACACACCACCACCTATAGTACAGTCTGGACACTACCAAACCAAACTTACCACCTCCAAGTGGATGGCAGCTCTTAGTGGCCTATTAGGACGGGGTAGAACTGCCCCTGTGAGTTTCCGAGACTCTCTGCAGAAGTAAAAAGCCCCATCTTTCTCCGGCTGTTGGTTTCAAACTGTTAACCCTGCAGATCACAGCCCAAAGCATAACCACTGTGCCACCAGGTCTCTAGTAGATGCTTAAGTGTTGAGTTCTTTCCATCCTATGGACTTATTCAAGGTGCACTAGTATTAAGTCAGTTCCAACTCATAGTGACCCTGTAAGACGGGGTAGAAATGTTCCTGGTAGGTTTCTTAGAATATAACTACAAGAGTAGAAAGCCCCAACTCTCTCCCTTGGAGCAGCTGATAGATCTGAACTAAGGACCCTGTCATCAACCCAACATGGAACCAACTAAGCTACTAGGATCTGATTGATTACTTTTAATGTAATTTTGTACTATGCATTGCAAGAGTTTGGGCATCCCCCCAATTTTTTTTAAAGTTTATTGACCCCCTACTATTTGACAGGTACTGCCCCTTCCCACCTTCTGAACTGCATTTTTGGCAAACACGGCCCTTTTGTTTGTTATGGTTAATCGTCCTCAAGAACATTTTTTTCACAAATGCTTTGTTCAGTTCATGGGCCTATTTGGCTGAAAGGTGAACTCTGTGATTGGTTTCATTTCCAATGAAACCTTCATTTTGAAGGGTGCTAGGGCCATGGTCTTTGAGGGTCCCACCAGCCTCTGTCAGATCAGTAAATTTTATCTTTCTAATTACAAGTTTGTTGTACATGTTTCTATTTTGCTCCTCATTATTGTGGTCAGTGTGGTAATTGGCATCATCTAGATAATAAAAAATTATAATTTGTATATTCTTTAAAGCTGATGACTAAATAAATATAATCAAAACTAAATACCCATATATACTCAAGTATAAGCCGGCCCGAATATCAGTCAAGGCTCCTAATTTTACCACAAAAACTGCATTAAAAATGTGCTGAAAAACTTAGCTTATACTCCAATATATATGGTATTTTTAAAAAAAAGAAACTTAAGGAGAAAGTGGTAAAAATGTCGACTTTTGCTTAATAATGTTCTATTTTTATTATAGGTGGCATGGCAGGACTTCAGTCGATGATGAGGCAGTTTCAACAGGGTGCTGCTGGCAATATGAAAGGCATGATGGGATTCAATAATATGTAAAGAAGATGCCTTAATATAAATTGACTCGATTACATTATTTGCTGAGACCTCAATAGTTTCCCTCTTTTTTGCAAATGGTGTACGGGGAAACAAAACAAGTATTTTTTCTTGCCTTTTTTCTTTTCTTCTTGTCATTTCCCCCTTTCTTCGCTCTCTTTCTCTCCCTTCTTTCCCTCCCTCTGCTCAAAGGGAGGGATATATGGTGTTTGGGGAAATCACTATATTTCTGCTTTACAGACATCTTCTTGTCAGTTTCCACACTGTACACTTGAGTTAAATCATGATGTGAAATTTTAGTACATAAAAGGTTTTTAATTGTCTCAAAGGCCAAGCATTACATTTTTAAACAGTTATAGTCAGTAGTTACATGATGTCTCAATAAAAGTGCTGTAAAATAAACTTCGATGTGGCTATAAGTTGAAAAGTTGTTAACGTTCTTTATATTATATTATCAGTGTATCACACAGAAAGGCAAATGAAAAGTTGGTACATGCTGTTTAAAACTATGTCTGGAAATGTAATTTTCATGAGAAATATGGTAGAGTAACTTCACCATGAGGGTATTAGAAATTTTGTTTAACTTAAAATGATTGAGATAACTTTGCCATTGAATATTTTAGCTGTGCAATTTAAATTGAAACAATTTGGTTACAGTTCACAATATATATGTTTTGTATATAACTTGCATTTTTTACCTCATATATTTGAAGCCTTAATGGCAATATTTCATTTTTAAAGCCAATTCTTTTATTTCTTACTACATATCAAAAATATGCTTGAAGAAATTGCTATGATTTGATGGTAATTGCTCATGTATAGACCTTCTGATGTTAAAATAATTGCAAATATTAGGTTGTCACTACTATATATTAAAAATATGAGACAAAAAATTGATCTGGTTACTGGTTATCTTGAATTGCTACACAGTTCATTTAGAAAAATGACTTTTAACTAAATCGTAATGTAAAATACTAGAATAACTCTTCTGCCTACTCATTATTGATGTGAAGATCATACATAAGGTATAGATAGCACTGTATTTTGAACTAGGATGAGTTCGACAAAGAATTTAATATAGTCGCAGGAGGGAGAAAGCAAAAAAATGGCTGACTTACTATGTAAAACCTATTATTCAAATGTTTTATAAAGGTCTTATATAAGTCAATGTATATTTTAAAAATAGTTAAGAATAAAATTGATTTTATTTCCCACTAATTTTTTTCACCAGCTAAAAATTAAGAGTTGCCCTATAGAGCATTGTATATCCCCCCAAATTGGCACATCTTGTCTTCTGGAGATCCAGCTATAGAAATTTGGTAATAAAGAAAATACTCCTTATAAAAATATTTTGTAATTCCACTTATATATACCTTATTTTCTGGGTATGCATTTTTGTAACTTCTGCCCTCAAAGTACTTTCTTTGCATTTTGATCAGAAGGAATAATATGATCAAATATATTCAAAAATGAGATATTTGCATATAACTGTGGATTGGGCATTTATATTTAATATTTTTCTCTAAAGCAAATTATATTTTCTAGAAGCAAAACCAGTCAAGGATACGAAATAAATATACAGGTATCTAGTTCAGGTTCCATTTCTCTTTTCTCTTACGTTAAAAAGAGAATTGGAAATGTTTTCTAAAAGCCTGATTTTATTACTTCATGTATTTAGCTACAAAGCTTTCCTTCAATATTCAGTTTTTATTAAGATGTTAATATTTAGTAGCATAAGTATTACCCACCAAAATAAAAACCTTTAATAATTTAAGTTTTATTTCACACTGATGTTAAAATTTGTAACTTTTTTACACCCACCTACTAGCTAGATCTGCAACTAAAATTTTGTTGAAGATCATTCAACAAGAGTTGTAGCATTACATTGTTAGGGAACTGCCAGGGTTCTGGCAGATTGAGAAGAGGACGTGGAACAAGAGATACCATTGTTGATGCCACATGGTTCGTGGCTCAAAGTAGAGCATACCAGAAAGATGTGTACTTTTGTTCTATTGGCTATGCTAAGCTATTTGCGTAGACTGGAATAGACTATGGATAACCTTCAGAAGAGTGGTAATCGCAGAACACTTCATTGTTTATGAGGAACTTGTACATAGATTGAGGCAGTTTTGTGAACAGAACAAGGAAAATACCCAATGGTTTAAAATCAAGAAAGGTGTGTGTTAGAGCTATATCCTTTCACCATACTTCCGTACACTGAGCAAACCAGCAGAGAAGCAAGCTCATACGAAGAAGAATGTGGCGTGCAGGGTTGGAGGAAGGCTTATTGACCTGCAATATGCGATGAGACATCCTTGCTTGCTGAAAGTGAGGAAGACGTGAATCACTTGCTGATGACGATAAAGGACTGTAGCCTTCAGTGTAGCTTATGACTCAATGTAAAGAAAACCAAAATCCTCCCTACTAGACCAATAGGTACATTGGGATAAATGGAGAAAAGTTTGATGTCAAGGATTTTGTCTTTCTTGGATCCACATCAATGCTCATGGAAGCAGCAGTCAAGAGATCAACAGATGTGTTGCATTAGGTAAGTCTGCCCAAGACCTCTTTAGAGTACTGAAAAAGCAAGGGTGCAACTTTGAGGACCAAAGTGTGCCTGACCCAAGCCACACTAGTTTCCATTTTCTAATATCCATGTGATCGATGCATTTGAATTGTGCTGGAAAAGAATATAGGAAACACTATAGACTACTAAAAAGACCAAGCGGTCTATCTTGGAAGAAGTAAGACCAGAGTGCTCCTCAGAGGCAAGAATGAGGAGACTACCTCTTACGTACTTGGACATGTCAGGAGAGAATGAAGGACATCATGCTTGGTAAAGTAGTATGACTGTAAAAGAGAAAGGCCCCAAGTAAATGGATTTATCCCAAGGCTACAGTGATGGGCTGAAGCATGGGAAAATTGTAAGGATGGTACAGGACTGGGCAGTGTTTCATTCCATCGTGCACAGGATTGCTATGGGTCGGAACGGACTCCATGGCACCCAACAATAACAATGAATTAGGTCTAATAATTTGGATTCCAGCAACATGGATTTTTTCTGATTCATATTTTAATGTTACTTAAGTATATATCAACACAGACCTGAACTTGCTGACTCATAGAAGTTGGAGCTGAGTATTGTGCATTCTGGCTGCTTTCCAGCTTACTGGACTGGGTGTTGCTGAAGCTGGATTTGCTGACTATGGAGCTTGAGCTGAATGCCTTTGGGGTGAAGCTGACAGAGTGGTATGCCCCTCTGGGCATTTATTAGCAGACCTGGAACTGTGACGTCTTGGTAAACAACTATCCTGAGCATTTCTAACAGGCATTACAACTTACTAACTGCTAAATAAACCCTTTAATTATGAGTTTTGTCTGACTTCTGCATAGCCATTGCAATGGATGCTAGAAATGAGAAAGTAGAGGATATTAAGATTTCATAATTAGTCTAGGAAAATGGGAAGTTGTGAAAAATGGAATACATAAAAATCCATATCCTAGGCATCATGTGAGTCAAAATGGACTGGGTATTGACCATGTGGTGTACTGTGCTGAGAATGGCAAGCTGAAGAGGGTTAGTTGTTTTTTTTTTTTCCTGGAGGGTTAGTTATTCAAAAGAACATTTCAGTCGATCCTGAAGTACAGTGCTGTCAGTGTTAGGATAATAACCATCTTGTCTATAAGAAAGATTAGTTAATTTGACTCTTACTCAAATGTACTCATCAACCAAAAATGCCAAAGATGAAACATTTGAAGATGAAAAACCATAGATAAAGGGGCTAGGATTGCGACATATTTTGGTGGAACAAAATTCAATCTGTTAGGTGCTGTCAAGTCAGTTCCAACTGATTGCAAACCTTATGTACAACAGAACAAAACATTGCCTGGCTCTATGCCAACTGACAATTGCTCTTACGTTGAGCCCACTGTTGCAGCCACTGTGTCAATCCATCTTGAGGGCTTTCACCTTTTTCGCTTCCTTTCTAGCAAACATGATACTCTCTTCCAGGGAATCCATACCCAAAAGCTCACAAACTCCCAACCATCAGTCCGAAGGCATTCCTCAAGCTCCTTCGTCAGCAAACCCAGCTCCCTGAAGTAAGTGTCCAGAGGCACCCCGGTAAGTTCAGCAAGTAAACTCAGTTGAAATGTTTCACTTGAAATAATGAAGCACTGGAAGGATTCACTTTTCTCTGCCATGAAATTATGAAGATAGCTACCTTGCCAACAGCCTAGAAAAAAATTACCCATTTCAAAGAAAGGTGGCCCAGCAGGATGCAGAAATACCATATACAAGTAAAATGTTGAGGATCATTCAGCTGGGGGAGGGAAGGAGTTGATACCGAGGGCTCAAATAGAAAAAAATGTTTTGAAAATCGTAAAGTTTTATTGACATGTATTTCACATACTAATGCAGTTAGATAGTTCAATCATATCAAGAAGAGTAAATATAATCTTTTTTAAAAAAAAACAGATTTTTATTAAGTGTGCACATGATCTCTGAGGATTAGGGTGAGTGACGCAAGCTGGGGTCTTTTCAAACATCTCGTATGCATGTGAAAGTGGGACGCTGAATACGGAAGTTCAAAGAAGAATCGATGTATTTGAGTTACGTGCGTGCTGGTAAGCATATTGAAAGTACCATGGACTGCCAAAGAACAAATCTGTTTTGGAAGAAGTACAGCTAGAATGCTCCTTAGAATCAAGGTTGGAGAACTTTATATCAGGTATTTTTGATGTGTTATCAGGAGAGACAAGTCTTTAGAAAAGGACATGTTTGGTAAAGTAGATTGGCAATGGAAAAGAAGAAAATACGGAGATCGAATGACATGGGGCTCACACATAACAACTGGGAGGGTGGTGCAGGACCAAGCGCTCTGTTCTGTTGTACATAGGGTCGCTATGAGTCAGAACCATCTTGACAGGACCTCACAAGCCTTCTTCATTCTAATAGTAAAGTTCTGTTTGGTACAGGCATCCATTTGTGGCATTTCTGTTATGGAAGTAGAGAAGGTAGTAAAGAAAGCTACCTTGCACAAGAGAGGGTTCATGCTGTTGAAGTGTTTAGTTGCTGGTACCACGTCAGATAACAGGACAGCATTCTGAATTGAAATAATTTTATATGACTTTCCCCTGGTCAAAATAATTGTTTTATTTTTGACTCTCAAATTGGTGAAAACTTAGATGAAAACTTTCATGTTAAAATTGTATTACATAAAAAATCATCTACTTGCCATGACCCAGTTCTACGTTACAATTCCAGCTAGACCGGAGTACAGACATTGGTACAGATTAGAGCTCTCGATATATGCAATTCAGGACAGATAAAATCCTCAGGAACAGTAGTGGGAGTATTGATATGAGGGTAGGGGGAATGGGTAGGGGTGACCCATCACAAGGTGGATATATAGCCCACCCCCAGGGGAACAAGTAACAGAAATGTGGGTGAAGTGAGATAACAGACAGTGGAAGACATAAATTAACAATAATACATAATTGATCAAGGTTTCACAAGGGTGGGAGGAAGGGGGGGTAACCTGATATCAAGGGCTCAAGTAGAAATGTTTTGGAAATGATGGAAATACATGTACAAGTGTACTTAATACAATTGAATGATAGATTGTTATAAGATTTGTAAGAGCACTCCAATAAAATGATTAATAAATTTTAAAAAATCATCTACTTGAAGATGATCCAGGTACCTTGATGTTAAAGCCTGCATTAATCATTACAATCATTTTATTCGACATTGGGAAAATCGGGAGAAATCTGAGATCTTTTCAAAAAAAAACCCTAAAACAGTTTATATATAATATGCTCCTCAAATTTGTCAAGATAAAACTTTGCTACTATTCTGTTCTCCTTACGGTCCTGTCGCTTAACTTTTTCTAGTTACTCTTAAGCATAAGAGAGAGCCCTGGTGCAAGTAGAAGGCAAATGTTTTGAGAATGATGAGGGCAACAAATGTACATATGTGCTTGACACAATGGATGTATGTATGGATTGTGTTAAGAATTGTACGAGCCCCCAATAAAATGATTAATAATAAATAAAAAGAGAGAGAG